ATGGCTTTAAGTATGTACCAAGACACCAACTTACAAAGAACCAATAACTACTAAGTGTTGCTTAAGGTAGAGGAACAGATCAGTGGGTCATCACCAAATCAATAGGTGACCCAACAGTACTATTAGGTAGCGTTTGGTACGCATACATAATTGGACAGGACATGATAAGAGGGTAGGACTGGACGGGAAATGATTGGACATAACATGAGTATGTTTGGTATTTGGTACGACTAGGACTGGACGAGACAGAATTAGACAAGCTACCCTCAAAAGTTATTTGATGATTTTTAAACATTATATAATAGTTATAATTAACACAAATAAAGTAAATAGTTAAAGAGTTTAATTTATAAATATTTGTACATAATTTTCATATTTGTACCAAACTTGAATGAAAATTTTGATATAATTGATGGTAGTGGTGGTGGTGGAGGTGGTTTTGGTTATGGTGGAGGTGGTGGTAGCCGACGGTAGTAGTGGCAACGGACAGTGATGGTCGGTGGCCGATAGTGGTTATGGAGGTAGACACAGTGGTGCTTGGTAGACGACGGTGGTTATAGAGGACATGAAGATGGTAGATTGTGGTGGTGGTGGCGGTTGACAACGATGGAGGAAGTAGTTGTGGTTGATGTAGCGAAGATAGTGGTGGTGGTGGTTATGGTGGAGGTGAGGTGGCAATAAATGGTGGTGGTCGTGGATGAGGTTGGTGCAGTAGAGGAGGAGTTGAAGGTGGCAAACGACGGTAGTGGTGGTGACAATAGACAGTGGTGGTTGGTGGTCGACTATGGTAGAGGTGGCAATGGACTTGGTGGACGGTGGTTGTGGAGGCGGTGGAGGATGTTGTTGTAGTGGAAGAGAAGGTGGTCGAAACTAGCGGTCGTTAGTAAGATCCCCAATCCCATCACTTCCTGATCGAAGGAAACTTCAATTATTGGGGTCTATAGCTGATAAGTTCGGCACTTTCTAACAGGCTTCGTTGTTATTTTCTTGTTTCAAAAAAGAAGTTGTTACTTGATTCAGCCAGATTGCACATACTTGTTGGGTTTCATCATTCACTACTGTAATTTTTAGTATATTATGTTTCTGCACTTGAGATCAAGCCACGACTCACTAGAGTTCCAAAGGCAACAAGATTAAAGAACCCGTATTGTTGGTTCTTTTTTGTCGTTACTTTTTGGCTCTTTTCCTTCTTAAAAATGGAAATACGACTCCATCCATGTAACTAATGTGAATCTATGGTACTATTAATTTCATGCAGCTTCCCTGGTAAAGCTGTTGGGGTGAGCATTTCTTCCCAAGCTCGATTAGCAGAAGTTGCTCTTGTCAAGAAAGCTACCAAGGTGTGTATGGTTGTTTGCTTATTTCTATTTTAATTTTATGATTCATATTATCTTAAAATAGGAATGACAACGAGCCGGGTTCGGGTCGGGTATTGGTATCCCCGTTCCCGAAACCGATAGTTAAAACCGTCCTCGTAACCGCCCCGATCCCCGTTGGGGATCTTATCCGGGAGCCCCATCGGGTCCCCGCTGTTTCCGCGATCCCCGTTGGGGAACTCGTTAAGGGTGCGTTTGGTGCGCAGACAGGACTGGATAGGACAGGACGGGACAGGACAGGACAGAACAGTTGTTCAGCATTTGGTAAGACAGGACAGGACATGACAGAACTGGTTAAAATGACCAATTTACCCCCGTCAGCTGTTTAGTGTTTTTTCACTACGAAATCAAGTAAACTCTCATAATCAATTCAGCAATCATAATCAATGTAAACCAATTCATCAACAACAACATTCAACAATCATAATCAATGTAAACTCTCATAAATAATCAATCACTAATAAGTACTTCGATTAATCAAGTTGTTGGCGAAATCGAGTACGAAACCACCATCAAACAAGCTGGTAAAAATGTAGTTGCTGTAATCCTCTTAGCATAAACCCTAATTAACGAGCTTTTGCATCTAAATCGATTCAAACCTAGCAAATCCGAAATCGATTCAAACATAGCGATGGAGAAGGAGAAGGTTAGGCCAATCATGTACCTGATGATGAAGGAGAAGGTAATGCGATGGAGGCGGACTGTGTGTATGGACTAGAACTCCCATCGCCGTCGAGATGGCGATGGAGGATGTCGTCGCCGATTGAGGGTGTGCGATGGAGGCAGTCTGAGCATGGAGGAGCGATAGGGAAGGACGCACGATGAGTGAGGAGGGTAGATTAGTCGCAGATCAGGACGGCGCATGTCGAAATCCATGGATGGGGAAGGAACCGGGTGTTGAGACTAGACGACGGTTGTCGGAGAACGGAGATCGGCACATCTCCGGGAGACGAGATTGAGAGGTTATGTGAGAGGAGAGATCGATGGAGGGACGGTGGAAGGGATTGAGGGTAAAATGGTAAAAAATTCCTTGTTTTAGTTAGTTCCAGGGGTAAAGGGTGGACTCCTGTGTCCCACCTTTGTTCTACTTAGTTATAGTTAGTCCCATATAAAGCCATACCAAACATAGAACAATTGTGTTCTGTTCTGTCCTGTTCCACCCTGTTCCACGTACCAAACACACCCTAAAGGGTAAAAATCCTCCTTTTCACCGTTGGTTATAACTGAACTCAAACTCGCAACCCGATCTGAAAAGAAATTACAATATGCTAATTTTCACAATTAAAAATAAATTACAATTTTTTTAAAGATGTAAGTTTAAATGTCTCAAACATAATCGAACCATTACAAACAATGTATTAGATTACAATATAAAACTAAACAGAAATTCAAACATCATACAACTGAAATTACGATTTTAAACAAATAAACTAGACTTTTTTTCGTAAGCTTTATTTGGGTTCGAGTTAAAGTGGATAAAAGTCTTTTAAATTTTAATGATATTATTTTCTTTTAATGATTATATATATATATATATATATATATATATACATACATACATATATACCTATATACATATCGGGTAGGTGATCACCATCCCCATCCCCGTTAAAATCCCCGAATTTGTCCCCGATTCCCTTCCCGTCCCCGATAAGATCTCCCCGAACCCGGCTCAAAAGTTTCAGTTTTCACCATCGGTTTCGGTTTTTTTTTGCCATCCCTATCTTAAAAGGATCCTGATTTAACCTAGCATGGCAAGCGCCCTTTATACATACATTTTGTTAAATTGTTGACATGTTCCCTAGGTTGCTTTTTGATATCTGATATTTTTGCATTTGATTATTTGATAAGTATCTTATTACAATGGGTTTGTTCTACTCCAATCTTTTGGTTTTCTCACCAACACATTACTTGACATGTAATCTGTTTTTGGAAGGGTGCTTTTGCTTTGGTTTTCCTCCAGGGTTTATAAGTCGATAAATCTTTCGTCTTTGACAACTTCCTTATAATTAAAAGGGTTTTCGATTTCATGATTCTTTCTATTTGCATGGTTCATGGAGCAGCTGGGGTGAAATTTGCAGAATTGCTACTTGCTTGCTTATTGTTCGTTACCCACTTGCTTGCTTATTGTTCGTTCGAGAATTCAATTTACAGTCAAGATTTCAAGCGTTCGATTATAGGACGGAATGTGGCCTTGATAATCAATAATTCCTATAATCGAACGCCACCAATTATACGGAATGTGGCCTTGATCACTCTTAAGATAAGTCACGTCATGCTTTCTATTGAGATCGATAGATAATTCAATAATTCGACATCTCATGCATAACCAAATTATAATCAATCAGATTGTTTAAATTTCAACATCAAATAGATTATTGTATTGTTTCAGTTCTTCTCAAATCAATTGAATATGAAACAATAAATAGTGTAGGCATGACAATTTCAAATACAAATCTTTATCGTAATCAATATGCCCATTTACATCTTTTTAAAATTTCACATCCCACTACATTGCACGGGTATACAACTAATTACATCATATAATTGTTTATTTAAAATTAATGTTTATATTCATGTTAATGTTAAATTAAAATAGACATTTTAAAGAAGTCATTCCTAAGGTAGCCAAATTCGTCTCGACCCGCACGAGAAAGTCGGAGCTCCATAAAAAAGTCACTTTAACTCATATTTGATTAAAGGACGGTTAAAATTCAACACTATCATTTACTTAACGGGTAAATTTTTTGTTTACAAAAACGCTATTCTATGCAATAATTTATCCGGTAAACGTTTACCATGACAAAAGTTATCACCCTAACTTGTCGGGTAAGACTCTTTGTCCTTGACTTTCTTATCTGGCAAGATTCTTGTACAACCATATCCATCCAGTAAGATAACATGACTTGTTGGAAAGCCTTTGGTAAACGCCTTCTTAATCAAATATGAATTAAACTGGGGAAATATCCATAAAAAAGAGATGGATCAGATTTCTGGCTTGGATTCTGTTTTCTTGAAAGAAAAGAGAATGTAAATGTAGCGCACAGTATAATCAACTTCGATCATCTGGGGAAATAATCATCATTTCCATCTCATTTTACTAAACAGAATCCACTCTCACAAACATTCAAATCAATTTCAAGCATATAGTTTTAAGAATTTCTCACCTTAAAAGATGGAACATAATAGAAGCCATTGATCAGATAATTGTAGTCTGGAAGTATTTTCGATCGACATCATTTTTTCCGACAACTTTCTCATCCCCTCAATGCTTCCATTACAAACACAAATCAATTGAAATATAAATAGATTAAGAGTGCTCAGAAGGATCCATTGGTTGTTTCTAATCAAGAATCATAAAATAGGTAGTTTTCAGCATCATAGCAACTCTAATCATTATTAACAAAACAGAATTCGATTCAAGRACTGTTRCACAAYYGTGTGAAAATGTTTTTGCTGCYAGTTGCAATTGATAAGCGTAATTAAAAAGGGATCTCTCAGACAAATGCCTCGATTCGTCTTCATGATTGAATGGAATGGATTAAATCAGACTCGTCATCTATGAAATCATCACCGAGATCCCATTTTCAAAACAGATTTTTTAATCAACAAACTTCAGACATCCAAGGAAGGAGCAAAGCAGCATTAGCTCTCAAGCCTGGCGAAAGGCGAAAGCTCTTAGGCGGCCACTGCGAATGTCTCTGAGAAACAAGCCTTTGGATTATCATCACCAGTATCAATCAAATAACAAATCAAAATCAAAATTTCACAAAAAAATTGAGATCTCCCACCCAAAAATGATCAGCAACTTGTAAAACTAGTCAGGCTAATAAAATCGCCGACAAAGTGAAGAGGATGGATCGAATATCAGGGGATATCATTCCAWCCCTTAAGCAATCGAAAATTTGCAAAAGGGGGAGACGATCCCCAATTGATAAAATTAAAAAATACAAAATCGAAACCGTTTTAGATGAATCCTAAAATTAAAATTTCAAAGGAGTGGGAGAATCTCAGACATCCAAGGAAGGATAGTAGCAACACGAGCTCTCAAGCCTGGCGAAGGCGAAAGCTCAATCAGGCGGCCACTGCGAATGTTCATGAGAAACAAGCCTTGAGATCTCCATCACCGATAACAAACACTAAAATCAATTACGGGAAACATTTACAGAAGAAAATGGAACGATGTCAGAAAAACATTGGGGGGCTTCAAGTAAATGTTGGAGATGGGAATTAGGGTTTTGTGGATATGAAAGGGAAGGGGATAACGGTGGCATTATATAGACAAGGGTTTGGGAATTAGAAAACATTGACCCTTCAAGATTATGTTTATTTGAGTCCAAAAATTTCTAAAATTTTAAATTTTATTTAATTATTTTATCATTTATATTTATATTATATTATAAAACATTTGACAAAAACTCTTAAAAATCGTTTTATATATATATTACTTAAAATTCAAGATTACAAATAATTTTGTGTAAGTATAACTTATTAAAGCTTCATTTTTAAATTCATGTAATTAACTGCAGATAAACATAATCA